CGTCAACAAGTTGTGTTCGCACTGCTTGTCCCAAGTTGTCAACAAGTTTGGAACAAGCTGTTAACAACTTGTAACAACCTTGTTGATATTATCAGACTTGTTGCAAGGTTGTTCCAATGAGTCCGATACAGTCATGATGTAACAATATTGTTACAACCTTGTGTTGTCAACCTTGTAACATTCTTGTTATAGCATGACCCTATCGGACTTGTTAGAACAACCTTGTACCAAGTCTGATAATGCCATCAAGCTTGTGCCAAGTTATTAAAAGCTTGTTCCGAACTTGTTGCAACAACTATTTGTCGACGACAACTTGTTTGCAGACCTGTAACAACTTGTGCGTTTTCATGTGTGTTTATTAACAAATATAAAACATTTTCCGTGTTGATATATAGTTATATCAACACGAGTGGAATTGGGAAAACGAGAAATTGTATGGAAACACGACGCCCGAAGGGCGGAGTGTTTTCATACAATTTCTCGTTTTCCCAACTTCCACGAGTGTTGATATAACTATATATCAATACGGAAAAATGTTTTATATTTTTTTTATAATATAGCAATGTCAAAAGCCCGAAGGATAAGAAGAATTTCCGTGTTTACAAGCGGCGGAAAATTTCCCGTGTTGACATCGAGTTATATCAACACGGCTCTTAGCCAATCAGCGTTCAGAATTTACAATCAGCGTTCAGAATTTACAAGTTATTAACACTGGCTTTTCTTTTCTTAGATTTGGCCTCAGTACTGTCATCTTGAATACAGAAGGCAAAAACTTTGATGTTTTTGGCCTGGCGAGGCTGTCATTTCATAGAATTGTATTTTCTTGCACAGACGTTGTTTGTAAAAGCCGCGCTACACACAATAAATGACGAGAGATTGGTCGTCTGAGAGTTGAGACGCGTCTTTAACTTTAGAAAAAAAGATATATTTTTGTATATCTAAATTTAGTAGCATTATAGGGTTCACCGCATATAGTGCTATTTTGCATTAGAATTTAGTTTTTGTCGATGAAAAATGAGATTATTAAATATACCCATCATATCGTTTATGGTAAGAGTCCTTTGTTTCGAGTGATACCGTTTAGGGGAGAATTTAGTTACACACGTAAAAATCTCAGCTTCTCAACAAGATGTGTTCGTAAGTGATTGTTCCCAGTTGTTGACAAGTCTGGAACAAGTTGTTATCATCTTGTAACAAGGTTGACGAGGCCAACAGACTCGCAACAAGTTGTTCCAACAAGTCTGATATCGTCTGCACGTAACAAGTTGTTAACAAGTTGACGACAACAAGCTCGTGGCAACTTGTTACGAACAGCCTGTATTAGTCTTGTTGGAACAACTTGTAGCAAGTCTGTTACCGTCGTCAACCTTGTAACACGGTGATAACAACTTGTTCCAGACTTGTCACAACAACTGGGAACAAGCAGTGCGAACACATCCTGATATCGACTTGACGACAACCTTGTTGTCAATGTCCCAGGGCGTTCTCCTTCGAACGAGGTTGCAGTAAAATTAAGATGATAGTCCCTAAACATGGCTTCTATTTATCTGGAATGACTCGTAATGTCGTGAAGTCAATTAAAACCAGTCCTTGTGGTGTCGTGGTTATGACGCTTGTCTTTCGAGCTGGGAGACCCCGGTTAAATCCTTGGTCGGACATCTACTTGAGGTCTTAAAATAATTGAGAAGAAAGAGCCTGCCATTACATTGATATCCGTAAATGGTTCGACTTTCGCGTCTTCTCGGATAAAGACGTAATTAAAATCGTAGGTACCTCGGATCCCCTAACAAAATTGGGAAATCCGCTTACCAATTAGCAGAGCCGCCGAGAGGGGGGGGGGCAAATTCCCCCGGGCCCCGAGGCTCTGGGGGCCCCAAGAAATTTAATGTTAGAAATTTAATGGGCCCCAGTCATTTTTTCGGGCGAAATATTTCTTTTTTCGGGCCAAAATATTTGTGTTTTGGGGGCAATGAACCGAAATTTGGTATAGAAAATTGCGGAAAAGTCCAACGAAAGCAATTATAACGCACCTAAAAAGAATTTATTGTGCGAAAAATTTTTTGCAATAGGGGCCCCTAAAAATTTTTTTGCTCCGGGCCCCCGCCAAGCTCTCAGCGGCCCTGTCAATTAGTGAACTTTTGAACAAGCTCTCTGCCACATTTCGCCGTCTGTGAAAAAAGGACAGCCAATGTAACCTCGTTCGCAGGGCATTCCCAGCCGAACGAAGTTTTGCAGTGAAACGTGTAAGTCTCTGTGTTGCATAACGGTAGTTGCATGCAGCCGAGACACAGGGCCTTCTATTTGCATTTCAGATCGACTTAAAGTGCTTTTTCACACGAGAGGACTGGAACGCCTCGTGACGTCATGAAGTCGATTAAACCTTAGGTCCTGCAAATCGACTGCCACCTGCCGAGAGAAGCTTGGCCGCAGGTCTGTCTAGGTGTTGCATGTACTCTGGAGTTAGCACTATTTTCCATTCAGCAAACTGACGTCATTTTCGGAAGATGGAAGAGGTGCTAAATGGCTATGTAACTAACCCAAACCCTACCTCTACTCTAACCGCAACTCTAACCCTAACCCTAACCGAATTAATAAACAAATCCAAAAAGAAACGACTTTAGAAAATCGATAGGGCGGTTTGCTGGATAGAAAATAGTGCTAACTGTACTCTGGGCACATCCTCTGTTGATGCCCAGCGAACTCTAGCCTGACTTGGTCTAAACATGTCGAGTACCAGTGCGCCAAAGCCTCCAAGACCCTAGGATACATTCGTAGATCAACGTTCGACATCAAAGACATCGCAGTTCGCCGCACTCTATACTTGACTCTCGTTCGTACGCAGCTATGCTATGGTTCACAAATCTGGGCACCACAAACCATCAATCTAATCCAACGCACAGAAAGACTTCAACGACGCGCGACTAAGTACGTCTTGGATCTACCCTTCCGTTGTGAAACTACATACAACCAGAGACTTTCACGTTTAGGGCTTATTCCATTGAGCTACTGGCATGAATTTCTGGACATGGTTGTGTTCTACAAACTAATTCGTGGACTCATGAGAATTGACGAACATTTCCTGCCTCAACCAACAAGTGTCAACAGCCAAAGGGAAACAAGATCATCCGATCCTGACCATTTGTCATTCACGACAACACGATGCAAGACAACCACATTCCAAAAGTCCTATTTAAATAGATGTACCAGAATGTGGAATGTACTGCCAAAGAACTTGACAGGCAATAACACCAGCCTTAGTCAGTTAAAAAATGGACTTTTCATGTACTATAAAGTAGCATTACAAACTGTCTACGACGTGGATGATCCAAGAACATGGAAATCAATATGTTTGTCCTGTAACAAGTCCCGTAATCTGTCCTGTGAAGTATCGTGTTGTTATTAGACAATAGTTTAATGTTTGTGATGTCGTATCTTATATGTAAGGGCCGCTGTAATTGGCGTAAGCTGTAGCGTGTTCCCTGCCATTGTCCATATATGTTTTTTCTGTGTTTTAATGTTTATTGGCAAAGTTAAATAAATAAAATACCACACGCATGCCGAGTGTTGCAGATTTGCGCAAATGGCGTTGCGCACAGAGGCTCGAGTACTTGACCAAGATCATAACATTTTCCTAACGCGCTAAAAAATCGTCAACTGGAAACACGTCCGCGACTCCCAACCCCAAACATTTTCAAACTCTAGCTAAAATGAGCGCTAGGGTTTAAGGTTAGACACAACCTGCAATAAAAATAATGACCCAATTAAATTAATGCCCGCAATAATAAGTACACCTCTTCTGATATAATTACGCTCAATAAAAACCGCTCTTAATTTTAATGATCACCCTCCAAAACTTGTATCCTTTTGGAAAGAATTTGTACAGAACCGAATGAGGTCGTGCGTGTGATGGCATGTGGGTTCGGTGCGTCATACCCTCCTACCAACCCCTCCCCATATCAGAAACCACTACCCCTATTCGGTTATTCTCTAATGGCAGAAAACGGGGTTTCTAACACTCCAAAACGTCTCTGTTATTCTTGAAAGAATTATTACATAATACGTCGGAGCTCGGCTGACATGTGGGCACATTGTCTCAACATACAAAAACGTTCATTCTTCGGCAGGTGACCGTTGTCAAGTGGTGTTTTTGACCTATCACATAGCACCATTGTCTTCACCTGTCGTTTTCAAAACAGCTGACGGCGGTTATTTGAACACATCCGGGGCACGTTTAAATCGCGCGCCCTGATTGGCTGCGTTGAAATCATAACGTGGTTCAGGCGAAAGCATGATATTCTCGTTCGAGGCCTTCGCAAAACGCTCGAGTAATTCAACTTTTGTGAAAAAATTTCGCCGTTTCATCGAGGAATCGGCTTCGTCAAGGCATTTGGATGAGGTATGTTAAATCTCCAGATATTTCTTCGAGTATTTGTGACGTTTTTAGTTCATTTACACATAGTGTATCACCCTTATTAAGCGTCATAAGGGTCCATCGCGCCGTGCCACGAAAATCATCCCTTGGGAGACACGGCCTCGCGAATTCGTTGAAATTTCGCCTCGGTGTACGTGTGAAATTTTGAAATTTTACGTCGTTTTAGTGTGATTTTTTAAAATTTTATTGTCGTAGGTGTTTAGGGCAAGTATTTAAAGGGGTAATTTGTTTAGGTTTATGTCTACGGACGGCATCAATTTGCACATACAAATCAACCTGCGAGCAGACTCTGCCGGCACCGTATTATTGCGATTGTTATTTATCTGGCCGGCTCTGTCGGCTTTGTGGTCGACTTTCGTGCACAGATCGAAGCGATTGGTTTTTATTCGACTTGTTTTGCACCTCGGGTAGTTGCTGCCACTAATTGGCTAAGTGAGGAGCAGCAAACTGGGCGATAATAATAAATAACAACTTTTGATGTCGGCCCAAAAACGTGCGAGGAAATGGGAATTATTACACAATGGGGGAAGTCCATGCCCCGCTCTTCAGCGTTTGTCATCTGTGCCGAGCTGCCGTGAAATCAATGACATTTTTGAAACTCTATTTGTTCGGGGATTTTTTATTCTATACCAAGGCCCTTCAGAAGTAGCGATTTGGTCTTAATGAGCGATAAGAAATCGCTGGACACGAACCAGAAATGATTTTAAAATGAAGCCAAAAAATCATCATCACAAATTTAGTTATTCCGGCTTCCGGTGACATCACACCAAACGTACTCAAATGGCTTCTTTCGATATTTGAATTTGTGTACAAAACCATTTGTAAAACGAACGTATGTATGCTGTTTAATTCGTTTATAAACATATACTACCGTTTTGTTAAGTTTTATTTGGTTTTTGCTGTCAAATGTCAAATCGAAATGCGTGACGTTCCTCATCGTTCGTGTGAAAGAGATTTATAAAATGGCCAAAAGTTATGTTTAGAATGTTGTTTGATATTTCTGAGAATTCAAGAATCTTGGGCTTACTAAAATGTAGCAAATATTGTAGATAATTTGCTACATTGATAAATATTTAGATGTACTTATTCTATCTGAGTTAACCTTCTAATGCAACGAGTTGTCCTTTTTGAAGGTTTAAAATTTGATTTGCAGGAAAGCAACTTGCGTTTACAAATGTCTATGTGTTAACTGAAAAAACAAATAGAGTTTCATCAAGGATTAAATTATATAGTTACCAAATATTATGCCAAAATTTTTAGCACCTTTTAATTGTTATATTGTTTGTCTATTGTGATGAAATGTTTTATCCAATATCAAAGTGTGGTATTGATATCTTTCAACTGTAGTGGAACACTTTAGCCATGACATGATAGCTTATTTATAGTATTATTTTTTATTATATGGTTACAACATCTTGTATTTAATATATATTATATTTATTTATATGGCTTTGGTAGTTGAAAATACCGCCGTTTTACGTTGCCTTCATGTTCGGAAAGTCTTCTCCAAATATGAGATATCGTGTGTAAACAATTGTAAATCTTGTATAACAGACAGAATTAGCTAACACTTGTTCACGTTATTACTTTGGATCGCTATTCCCATTGTTCATGTTAACAGAAGCGAAGAATATAATTTTATGTAAACCGGCATGGGTTATTCCTCCTGTGGATAAGTACGATGCATAGTTCACTTTTTTTCTTCGATGCTTCCATAAGAGTATCAACTAATCCTGTAAGTTATTAAGGTCCGGTTTAGACGGTGAGTTTTTCATGCATTGCACCAGGGTTTGAATTTTATCGCGGCAATTGCCGTAGAGGGAGAACAAAATGCCGTGTAATCATTGCGGCAACGACAGCAATTTTTCGCCGTATAGTGCAATTTTTATATACTATTCACTGTGCATTACTATTTTGATACTTGAATTCAGATGTTGATCAAATCATGAGTAAATCACTATTTTAGTCTCAATTTTCTTCGAAAAAAAAAACACTAAAGAAATACGTAGACATGTTTCTGGCTTGTCAAAAAAACTAAAGTAACAATAAAATTAAAGTTTTGTAACAGTAATTTGAAAATTGCCGTGGAAACTGTAAAAATTACTGTGGAAACTGTAAAAATTGACGTAGACAGCTGTTACGTTCTACGGCGATTTTTAACGCCATAATTGCCGTCGATTGATTTCAGGGAAATTCGAGGCCTGCATTGCACCTAATGGCTGGTCTAAAGCATGACTGACCCGTCGGATTCGTTAATTTTAATTAGACCCAGAGGGAGTATTTTTGACGAGAATGGCATGAGTTTTTCATGCGTTGAACCTAATGCAACGATTAAGTTCGACAGACGAGCGGCATCTAAATTTGGCAAGTTTTGATTATGATTATTAGGCTGTGGGCCATTGTGCAAAAAAGTGCTTAGTAAAGCAATTTTGTGGCAACCCCCTGGGGTTTAGATTTTCTGTGGTTGAATGCATAGTACCATAGATAATAATAATAGGGTCGGCAGAAAAAAATAAGGTCGTTCGGGAACCGGAACCACAGGTATTTTTTTAGGCCTTTAAGTAACAGATTTAGACTCTGCTCTTCTGTCGTACTTAATAATTGTTGTATAAGGTTTGCACATGAAAAGTTCGCCATCTAAACAGGGCAGTAGTTGATTTCGTCCATTCTAAAAGACTTTCTTTTATTCTTCAGCAGAGGAGGTCTGTACATATAATTGTGCAAAGAAGAGATATTTCAGTGAGCAGCCATTGTGCTGCATGCCAAAGATGACAAGACAAGAATGACTGCTTGAACGGCAATCCTTCACAATGGATAGATAGCCTGTGAGGACGTCCATTCTTCCACGAAAACACTTACAGCTTTTGATGTGTTGTATTTTTCTTATCATGGCTGGTCTACAGCATGACTGACCCGTCGGATTTGTTGAATTTAATTGGACCCGGAGGGATTTTCGACGAGATTGGCATGACTAGCATGCCTTCGTCATCTCTTCCTCAAAGCTCGACAACTGATCAGTATTTCAATATGGACTCATTTCAAAACTTTCCCAACCAACAGTCGAGCACACTTCAGCAGAAGTTACATCATTTAGGCGGCCAATCGCCTTCGCAGGAGCAGTTTCAGCCGTTTTCTCAAAAGTTAAGCCATTTCGCGAACCCAATGCTTAGCGGGCAGAATAACGCGTTTCAAAATGCTGCGCCAAATAAACCACAGCAACAACAATTTGCAAGGATGCCAGGAATCCGAATGCAGTCCCCAACACAGTTTAGCCCCCAGCCTAGCAGTTCACAGGGGGCGAATTGGCGTGGGCAGACGAACATGGCTAACTCGTTTGGATCATTCGGGATGCCCCAACAACCTCAGCAGCCGCCCGCCGAACAGGGCGTTCCCGGCAACGCAATGCCTCAAGGTTATATGAGTCCACAGCAAACTAACATGCAAAGACTTCAACATTTCATGACAAATAAACAAAATCCAATGTTAAGTCAATCGTCAAATCCATTTATGAGTCAAGTAGCAGAGAATTCCTCGAACTTGACGGATATTAGTAATTCTACTCCGAAAATGAATAGCCAGGGTAAGACAGTGTCTCCTGGTCAACAATTCAACTCCGAAATGGCAAGGCAAGAACAGTTGAGCAAACTTCACCACTTAGTATCGGGCGGAATGCCGTCACCGACGTCAGATACAGCAACAAACTCGAACTCGCCTATAACCAGCTTCCAAGCTTCGAGTAACTCGTCGTTCACTCCATCGCCCGATCCGTTCTCGCAGAACAAAAACTTGCAACCTATGTACAACAATATGCAGCAGCAACAACAACAGCAACAATCACCCATACCCAATCAAACACCAATGCAGCCGCAAGATCCGTTCACACAAACGCCACCGCCAAGCACGATGGCGCAAGACTACCTAATGCGGCGGCCGCAACAGTATGCTGACGGCAGCTACCAAATGAGACCGAACATGCCATTTCAACAACAGATGATGAACCAGAATCCTAACCCAGTGTCAAGTCAGCTAAAGAGTGCTCATTTACTCTACCAACTTCAACGGTTGCAACAACAAATATCGCAAGTCCGTGAGTTGCCGTCTCCGGCTAGGGACCAACCCTTGCAGCAACTGCAGCAGCAATTTAGTCGGTTATATCATTTGTACTTGATGGACCAACAGCAACAGAAGAAACAACAGCAAGCGGTTGCGCAAATGAGGTTTGACCAAGAGAACCTTTTAAAACAACAGCATCAGGATAAGGCGAACAGGATAGTTGCCGAGGCAATTGCAAAGTCGGCACTGATGAACAGCGGATATAACTATCAAGCCGAGCCGCAGATGAAATATTTTACCCAACAATTTGGACCTGCGGTAAAAGGTCCTATGAATTATGACATGCAGCAGGATAAAATTGCTCAAAGAAAAGCCGCCGAACCAATCGTCTTGCCGCCGTCAATTGTTAATCAGCTTCCAAAGACTGTATGGAGCTCGTCTAAGTAAGTGTTGTAATGTGGGGTTTTGTGGGAGGGGTATTCAAATTTGATGTATGGGTGTATATTTTTCAAAACAGTGTTGTTTTTATAAAAAAATATTTATAAATTCGAAAAGGATTTGTCGAACCTCAGGAACTTGGGGAAAATGTAACAAAGAACCATCCTGGTAAAAAATCTTTAACTAATTATCCTTTCTCACAATGACGAATATCCTCCATTTTTGGGTGGCATCCATTTCTCGTTAACCATTTCAGACAATTAAAACAATGTGAAAAGCATTTTTTCCAAAATAAACTAACCATTTACAAAGCAAAATTACCATAATTTGTCCAAAAAATTATAAAAGTCGCTGTTATGTTGACTTATCTCGCAGACCTCGGCTGAAATGCCACCCAAAAATGGCAGCGTGAGAAAGGTTAATTGGGTGCCACTGCTCTCCCCTTGAGAAGTAAATTGTTTGGCTTTGGCAGAGTAAAATAATAAAGTATGGCACATTTTGGCATATTTAATTATATTGTAGTTCAATGAGTTAAACTCGAGGTATGTAAAGACCATGTAAAGTCTGTAATGTAAACAAACACTTTGTTTACATTTTGAACTCAGTGCTACAGTTGTAAAATATGATTAGATATGTACTATACTGAATTTTTAACACTCGTCTGGTTCGCTATGCTTGTAAATGAATACAGACTAGAGATTCAATTCAAGAAAGTTCAAAAGATACGAAATATTAATAACATTCCAACGGTCGGTTCCCGACCATTGGAATGTACTGTAAGCCTGCACAGAACGTATGCGCAGAACAGACTTTACATGGTCTTTAAGAAACCTTTGCTGGTTATATTTGTCTGCTTAAGAAATATAAGCATCTATTTTCTTCGTTTTCAATAAAGAGCCTTTGTCGGCATGGAAACCACAACATCAATATTTCGAGTGAATGCCCTTCATCAGGAGAGATAGGAGAGCCTTTGCTCGAATGTCAGAATCCTTTTTTTTTATACTTTTCATGCTATCAGAAACAGTGATTTTTAGGCTTCGGGGCATCACATTCCACTATAAATTAAAGCCTGAATCAAACGAGGCTGAGAGGGCATGAGAGTTTGCAGTCACGCAACCTGGGTTAGCTGTTCTTAATGCTTTCCCAACACTATCAT